CGTATGTGAATAATAAAATTATAATTATAAATAAAGTAAACGATATGATTAGTAATTTGAAGTCTTTTACGTAAAATACCAAAACATGAGAATTTATAACCTGAACAAAAAGCTGATAGAAATTACGTTTGAAAGAAAAGTTTGGCTTCTATAACACTTGAAGAACAAATAAGTTATCGAAATAATGAGTCAATAAAAAAGACAAGATCGCGCAAATGTCAAAATAATATTAGAAAAGAAAATATGAATCCAAACGATGAACATAATATTAATCCCAAACGATGAACATAATATTAATCTATATATTTAAGAAATTACAAATTATATATAAAAATATGCGATTATTTATTAACTAACGCTATGGGTTTTAGAAAGTCCAACCGTCTTGCCGTTGCCAATTTCATGCCAACTTTCTGATTAGACCATTTACCAAATAGGAAAAAGTTCACGAATCTAATTTGACAAAACTAAGACAGCTTAATTTCGCCTGTTGCCAATATAAAGGCTGTACATACTAGTCCGGATCTAGAAAAGCACAATCTGACGAAAAAAAAAAAAAGCGAAAAAACGACAAGAAAACTAATGTCTAAACCTATATTGATGCACTAATAAAAATGTCGGGAAGGTGATTTTACCTATAAAACATGCCCTAACCCGAACTAACCCTTACCCTAACTTTAACTAAATAGTCAAAAACATATGATGCACAACGCTTTAAACGTCCCCCAAGTTTATACTAAACGCACCTGGCTTTAACTAACTACCCCAGCGGCACTGGCCGATTTTTACTGATCGATAATCAAAACAACGAATATGCGCAATTTTTTAAAGTCATAAAACACTACGATAAGGTCAGGTTTACGATTATAGCGAGGCGCAGAAGAAGGTTACATTAGATGAAATTTTGAGTTACGCATGATTTTCACGTTAATCCTGATCTTGTAATCTAATTGGCCAATTCGATGTCGATCAGTAAAAAATCGGTCGGTAGTTAAATAGATGTAGATTTCAATAACTAACAGAATTCGATGGAGATTTTTTTTAAATAAATTATATAAATCGGTAGAATTAACAGTTAATTCGAAGGAGATTTTTTTTTAAATGAATTATATAAATTGATAAAAAATTTTTCACCGAATTCTATCGAGTAGTTATCAAGAAATTTTTCGTTTAAAGTTTGAAAAAAATAGCCGCGATAGAAATTTCCCAAACTTTAACTGAAAAATTTTAAAAAATTTCTATTGACAACTATTCTATGAAAATTTTTTAAAATGAATTCTACTAATTTATAGAATTCATTTAAAAAAAAAATTTTCATCGAATTCTACCCGAGAAAATTGGTCTGAAAATCTACTTCGATAACTTGGTGCATAAATCACGTGAACGGTAAGTGTCCGGAGATTTTCCCCCGTTATAAAGTCATCATTTCATATATAAAATGTTTTTTAACTGTTACGCAGTCTTTAACTCGGGAACAACTTATAATAAATATGTCGGATAGCGAAACACGACTTGCAGCAATTGCGAGCATTCCATCACAAAAGGATAAAACTACTGAATATCGTGCTTTATTGGAAACAATTCTTACTTCAACGGACGAAACAGTTTTAGCAGCTGATCTGGAAATATTTGTTGACCACATAGTACAAGAACAAGTTGGTTTAGTCATTTCTCGACAAATTCTTACCGAGTTCGTACTGGGCATTGATAAAATTGGAAATTCTGCCATAAAAAAACGTGTTCTAAACTTTGCGCTGAATAAAGTCCAGCCAAGAGTTGTCAGTTTTGAGGAACAGGTCTGATATATTTTTTCGACAAATTTGGTGTTGTAGTTTATTTAATGAGGCTAATAAATTATTTTTTCCAATGATTGATTTAACTATATATATAGATTTCAACACTCCGCGAAAAATTGGCCGAAATCTTTGAGGCTGAGGAAGACTGGCTTGAAGCTGCTAAGGTGTTGCAAGGAATTCCACTAGATTCAGGTCTTCGGTATGCAATGATTTATAATTTATCGTCGATATCAATTAATTCAATACAATTATATTAATGATATCTATGTATTTTATAAACCTAAGAACTATTTCGGATGAATATAAGCTCAAGATTTATATTAAAATTATTCAACTTCTTTTAGAAGAAGACGAAGCAGTGTCAACAGAAACGTATTTAAGTCGCGCCGCGTTGTTGATTCCTGGTTGTAAGGATCAAGTCATCAACTTAACGTTCAAATTGTCACAAGCTAAGGTCTTTGATTTCAAGAGAAAATTCCTTGAAGCTAGTTCGAAATATCATGAGCTGAGTTATGTACCTGAGTTAGCGCCAGAAGATCGAACGAACTGTCTGTGAGTTATTAACAAGTTTATCACATTTAGTAATTCTTTTGAATATCTGCTTACATCTACTTGATATGTGATGCTAGTAATGCTGCTATTACTTGCGCAGTTCTTGCCGGTGCTGGCCCTCAACGTTCGCGCATGTTAGCCACGCTATATAAGGATGAACGGGTACAGCGTCTACCACATTTTTCTATCCTTGAAAAAATGTATCTTGATCGTGTTTTACGACCAAACGAGGTCAAAGGGTTTGCAGAAACCCTTAAAGAACATCAACGTGCACGACTCGCAGATGGCACAACTGTTCTAGATCGCGCAGTGATCGAACACAATCTTTTATCAGCTTCTATGATTTATAACAACATCACATTTGAGGAACTTGGATCCTTACTTGCCATTACTCCAGACCAGGCTGAACAAATCGCAAGTTCAATGATTGAGCAGGGACGAATGCAAGGAACAATCGATCAAATTGAAAGATTGATATTCTTTGAAAGTAATTCAGCAGGAAAGGCAGTTGGCGGCATACTCGGTGCAAAATGGGATATAGCAATTCAAAATGTTTGTCATCATGTAGAGGAGGTTGTAATTGCAATCGGAAGCAAATATCCAGAGCTCACGCAAATTTTGTAGATTGGGCCAACATAATAACTTTTATCCGTAATGCTATATAAATAATTGTAACGATAAATGTGCTACAACTGCTATTTTAGCTGATATATAAAGTTTTATCACAAAATTCGTAATCTGTAGGCAAATTTATCTAGAATTTTGTTGTAAACTCACATATTTATTTTTTTTTAAAAAAAATTAAAATATTTAAACAAAATTTTTTTGATAATATATATTTAAAGGTACATAATACAAAAGAATTGGATGAAACCCGCGCTGTAACTTAGTAAAATCCGCTACGTAGATCACGTTAGGGTGAAACACGCGTTTAACTATGTTCTTATTACGCAAAGGCGGATTTCACCTTCATGACCGTTTTTCAAAATTTCCTTATAGAATTTTGATGATCGCCGGCGAAGCAATACAAGAAAATTGAAACCCCTAAAAAATACAAAAATAGCAGTCTAAATCTACCTTGGATAGGTTAAGCAAAAATATCGTGAGGAATTTTAGATAGTTATATATGTTGTGTGTCAAATTAAAATCTGCGTCAGATTAAAATCATTATAATTCCGCTAATGCCCAACATAGGCACCCACCCTTACCCTAA